CATGGTTTCCTTCACCTTTTCCGTATCCTGTTTCGGCTGGATCTCTGCGATTCACACCCACTTCACTATCTCTATCTAACAAGCATTGGTAACACTAGTAGTGGTAGCATCAAAGATCAGTAATCATTAATGCTGTTGACTTTGTATTGAATTCAATGTTAATTAGTAATTACCTTTAAAAAATGTTGTAGTTTATCAACTATTGCTAAACACGTTTGAATGACTATCTTTCCTATTGTTTGTGCAGAAACTATGTAGAGGTATTGTAGACGAAAATAGCTTTCTCCTATGTTTGGTAAATTACACTGAATTGACTGAAACCCATGCAGCTTTGATATCATGCATCATACCTGTAGCCAAAAATCTCAATGTTGGTGCCAATTTTTCTCCTGGTGGAATTGCTTTGCGCAAGTGAGTGTCTATATGTTATTTCTGGTGCAATCATTGCCAAAATAGACGGAAAGGAATCTATATCCCTTCTAAGACAGATTTTGTAGCTTGATTCATCTCCCATCTGTAGTTCCTTTAATAGCTGGTGATATGCTCCATAGTTGTTACAATTCAATATCAATTTTCTAGTCAAAACTCTCCTATTTCTTCGCTTTCTGTGCCTTTTAGGTATCAAAATAGCTATGACACAAGCAGCTGCTGCAACTCTTCTTGACACCATTAATACTGCTAAATAACTATTGGTGTTATTTAACTATTCAAACAACAAGTTGAATAGTGTATTGTCATGCCAAGAAGCAACATGTTGCTTTCAACAAGTTGCTAGCAACATGCTGCCAGTAGTGTATGTTGGGCTTTAAGTAGCAACACCATCAAGCAACTTTTTCTCCATTTTAAACTTGCATGGTCATGTGATCAGTCATGTGATGTCATTTGTAATACGGTAAGTAAACAGAAACATTAAAAATTGGTTATACAGCAATTTCTCCACTTCTTGCTTGGAAGAACGATATATGAAGGCTAATCACTCGAGATAGGTAAGCTGCATTGACGCGCAAAAAGCACCAATCGATAGAAACTTGTAAAAGCAATTTTTTGATATGATGATATATTTTTTCAAATTTTTTGTTAAGGTTGATATTTTCAGACCACGTCACAATTAATGATTAATGCAACAAGTCATGCTTTAGGCTTGACTAAGCTCTGATTTAATAACATCACAATGTGGGTCACACAAATTCCATGCAGTCACTTAATATCTTTGTAATTATGAATGAGTGAAGAACATGGACTAATGTCTAAGACTGCTAATTTATACATACCTATATCGCAAATGATTATGATTACTCAACCCTGACCCTGGCCTTTTACTTGTATAAGAACTTATGCCATTTCAATACATTGTTTTACTGATTGTTTTAATGGTAATAGGTATGACTAACAATTCCTGTTAGTGACACTCATAGAATCCATTATTTTATAATTTGGTGAAATTTATCATATCTTGCTTGAAATAAATTTTGCTGTTCGTTCACACTATTACTTAATGGCACTTCCTTTATGTCACAGTCACATGCAATTCACCACAACAGTTCTCCTTTACTTAATACTTTTGTCACCTCTCTCTCTTTCATTACAGATGCAAAGATAGCCATTACAGTTGATGGTACATTGAAGGTGTGGTTGATTGACACTATTATTGAGATGAAGGATTTGACTGATCTGTTTGAAGAGAAGTCCACGTTCTACGTCTATCTAGTCCTCTCTCATTGACTTCAGAGTCATTTCCTCACTTCTCATTAGCTCTTGTTGTTTACACCCAGCAATCAAATATAAGGTAAGATCTTACTAAAGATCTTGCCAATACAGCATTACAGATCTTACAAGATTATGGGACAAGATGTTCCAAATTCTTGCAAGATTACTATCTTTTCGGATCTTATAAGATCTTGCATTTTTGATATCTTGCATAATCTTTTCTAATAATTATCAATTATTCTCTTTTATAAATTTCAGTTATATAATAAAAAACTAAGTCAAAAAACTACAATCTCTTAAAGCTAATTGTTTGCCTCTATTTGCTTTGTCTGTACACTATTGATCTTCTCCAAACTTCTCAAGCAGACATTCTATAGTCGGCAATAAACTTTATTAATTGCTATAGATGTAGAAATTACCTTCAAGTATTAATTTCCACCTCTCTGTATCTAAACCAGGTCTGGTGGTCCTCTTCGATGCTTTGTAGCCATTTCGGCGTCACTGAATATTGCATCCATCAGTGCTAGTGCATATTTTGCTGGATGTGGTGCTTTTTCCAATAGATTGATGCCAATGTCCTATAATTATTGAATAACCTGTATATACTTCAATAAAAAATAATACCGTTACAAATTTAGTGTCAACTTTCTTTTCACCATCAACCTAATAGAAAATATACTCATGTATAAATTTTTAAGTTTTACTTTAGAATTTTGAAGTGCTTGAAAATAAAATCTACCTTTCGTTCTATTTGACGAAGTCTATTTCAAAATTATTCTCTAAATAATATGTACTGTATTATTTGTAACATACTTCAGTGCTACAAGTACCATTCATAGTAGATCTACCATTTTTGGGAGTCAAAAATGGAGTTTTAAATTCAGCCAACTGAAAAGTTCATATTAACTAGTTACTTTAACATTGTATTACTTTTGGTATGTTGCTAAGTGGAGTCCCTGGCTGTAACTAAAATTAATTTGTAAGTTAAAAATATTGCTTTACTTGACTTGATTGCTGAGAAATGGCAGATCAAAATCAACACCGCAAAATCCTATTGCACTATCTCAAATCAATTCCTGTGATGGTACTTGATTGTCAAGTGATAATCCAAGTAAATTTTAACCTGTGATAAAGAATATGTGTTTATTTTATCCATAGGCATTATAATAATTGACTCCTGTTAACTATTGACTTATGTTGATTTTTGAATTATACAATAACTTTAATAAACAAAAAATAATAATAATAATGATACTATCAATACTTATCTGTATACCCTTTATATTTGATATCTCTTCATCTAGGTCGGATTCAGATTCAGCTTCATTGCCAATCTTTAAAGTTTCTTCTTCT